TTTTCCCGATAAATATAACATTTTGTTTTCCCTCCAAAATGGGATTCTGTCAGTGAGGATGTTATAAAAAGAGGTTTCAAGAAGTGTTTTCTCACGACAGCCATGGATGGCCCTGAAGATGACATCCTTTGGCAAGAGAATTAAAGATGAAGATAATTTTAAACAGGACGAAGGTAATATTGTGAATGATAATTTGTTTAATGACAATTTAGATATTGATTCTACAATAGAAAGTGGTGATGATGATGAAAATTAAAATTTCAAGAAATTGTTAACTTGATGTCCTCTTTTCTTCGAAATTGACCTTTTTATAGATTTTTTTATTTTTTCGCCAAATAAAAAATGCAGTTACTGATAAATATAAATTTATCGACAAAAAATTTACAATTATTATTGTTGGATTTAAAATGAAAGTTGGGATAATATCTTTCTTATTTTAGAACAAGTACGTATTTATTATTATAAATCAATAAAGAAAAAACTATTTTTGTTTAAACCTATTTATAATACGCACTCCTACCATCACCTGTAATTTACAGCAAAAAATGCATATTATTTTTGAGAAATTACGGTAAGTAACATCAAGTTTGGCCAAAACCTAGATGAGTGACCGCTTGGGAATATTAAGTAATGTAAGATTGTGCCTGATGTAATGGGTAACGGCGGATCGGAATGAGAACTCGGTGAGCCGAGTTCCAATTCCAGTTGGGTTTGTTATATTCACTTATGGCAAAAGTATGTATCCATCTCTTCTTCCCATCTATGGATTGGAAATCAGGCCAGTCTGGTTCCTATAGCCTTGTTTAGCAACCAGTCTACCACAGAAAGAAACGGCTGCCTACTGCGGGAATATCTTCTGCCTAGCCAGTCAGGAATCGAGACATGATCGCCCGAGCGTGCATCACGTATGTCACTTAACTGGATGGTTGATTTATTTTATCAACCAGCCTGCATACTTGAGAAAACTTAATAAAGAAAATATAACCGCTGTCGAGTTCTTTATATTACGCGCAAATAACAAAATACAAGTCTTAAGCTATTGGGTTTTGTATCAGTAAATCATTATTATATCAAAAATAGTCTTATAATCTAAAATTATTTTCTGGCTTTAAATAAAATGTAAAAAGGTTGATGAAGCCGTTCGAATTCCGGTCGAGTTTGCACTTTCGGAAATACCCTTAGGCGATCATGTACCGTAAAGAGACATAATCACCCAAGCGTATCACATCCGCCCCTACGCGCTTAGGATTAGTGCGGTAAGCTAATGGACCATTCCTCCACCATGGACCTGCGAAAGACCTACGTCTAACAAAGAACCATTTAAAACAGGTTGAAAATCTTAGTTGTAGCTTGACCTTGGCTGAATGCACTTTTTTTTTGACACGAGGTGTTCATTTTTTGAAAGAAGAAAAAGATATAATTTTGTTTTTTATCTCATGAAAAAGTGTTAATGGCGTAGCAAAGAAGATCAGACGAAGCGGAACTGTTATAAGTAGCGAGATGTATGACCCGAATAAAGGAATTACACGGTATGGCAGAAATACCTTCCTATTTTAAGAGCTGACAAAAAGACCAAGATAACTGTTATTAAAAAATATTTCACTGTTGCTTAAACAAAGTCTACAGCTTTTATTCATTTGGTTTTTAAAAGGCCATCCTCCAAATGGGGACCTCTATTCGCCATACAGAGTCGAAGACGATTTCTAAAGTTTTCCATCACCCGGAAATTTGAGCATTCCTTGGTCTTCCAGGCGACTTTCTTTTAGTATCTGTCTATATTTCTGAGATGAAGTATTATGTACACTATTTGCATTATTCGGACTATTGTCCTCATCTTTGTCGCCATATTTATTACAACGTTTCGGCCTTTCAGTATCTGTCTATATTTCTGAGATGAAGCATTATGTACACTATTTACATTATTCGGACTATTGTCCTCATCTTTGTCGCCATATTTATTACAACGTTTCGGCTCTTCAGTATCTGTCTATATTTCTGAGCTACTGTATTATGTACACTACTGTCCTCATCTTTGTCGCCATATTCTTTACAACGTTTCGGCCGTTGTACGCTCCGGCCTTCTCCGGTGCTTGGAATGTCGAACTGAACCCTTTATTTCGCTTTATTGGGTAGACTGTTTTAGTTCCACGTGCTATGTTTTAATGGATGTCAGTTATCTCCTGTTAATTCCCCTCTCCAAGTTATCCACTGCCTTAACCGGGTATTGAACTCACAACTCTTTGGGTCCTGTCACTGGATCTAACTAACGCCTTTATCCACTGTGTCAGGTGTCCTCAGTGGATAAAAGTGTTAGTTAGATCCAGTGGACTTTCTTTTAAGCGCTAAACCTAAGACTATAAAATTTCCAACTCATAGCAGTATCGGTTTTCTATTCGGAACAGCATCATCCCGACGTAACATGAAATGAGTAAGAAAAGCTCTCTGTTTGGCAATTATATATTCACCAGTCTTAAAAAAAAAACAAAAAAAAAAAAACGTTTCAACAGCAAACGGACACGGTGTGCACCAGTTCGAGTCATGATGGTAACTTGTGGTATCTAAAAAAAATCGTAAAGATATTAGTTAGATGAAGACCTCTAGACTGATGTGGTATTTTCTGATGGAAAGAATTTAGATGGAACACATATAATTTGGAGAGTAATTTTAGGAAAAAGGAGAAACTGAATTAATGTAATAATGAACCGAAAAAAATAAAAACTTAAAAAAAAAAAAAGAATTGTAGAATAGTTCATTGGGTAAAACCAACCATACTGGCAGCAACAGCACGTGTGACAGAGAGAGAGAGAAAGAGAGAGAGAGAGTCTGGGAAACACACACAGACACGCGCGCGTATATTTTTTTTAGTGAAATTGGAGTAGATTTGAATAGCAAAATTAAATCAAAGCATTTTGTTTACTGATGAGGAAATCTAATCCAGGACAGAAGTTGTACCCATTGAATCTGGGTCATCAGAAGACAATGGAAATTGTCGAAATAATTTTTATCGATTAAAAATTGAAATAGAGCTGAGTAAGCTAGATAGAACTTTGGAATTAACATGATTTTGGTTGAAGCAGCCAGAACCCCGTGATTATCGCATGCGAAGTAGTAGGGCCGAGGGTCAGTTATAATCAGCCGGGTTTATCTATATAAACGCGTAGTTATGCTGAAAAAGGCAGACTGGAGACAATTTTTGAAGAGACAAGAGAGAATTGGCCCGGGTGAGCGTTGGGAGGAGGAACGTTACTATAAGTTTAGGCCCCGCACAGAAATCTTTATCCCTCCATCTCAAGAGTCATATATCGTTCTGAGACGATTTAACAACAAGATAATCATATATACTCTCTCTCTATCTAGAATCCAGTGTATGAGTTTTTTTTTTTTACTTTTATTTTCTGTAATCCGTTTCTCTTCTCTACTATTCTTTTCTGCTATATAAAAGACATTAACAGTTCAACCATTGAATCGATGTTTGTCCGGATTTCTACAGATATTTTTTTTTGTTGCATTCTAAATTTCTTAGCGCAGACTCCCCAGCCGTGTCTACATCTTCAGTCGACCGTGAATGGACGGACATCACTTCTGCTTTCTGGATCAAACAAATCACAACGTGGGCAGGAAGCAGGATTAAACTAGCGTACCGGTCGAATAATCTACGGATGCTCAGTTAGGACCGAGTAGACACCTCAACCCTGAGAGTAAGACGTTGGGGGTTGAGGGGCCGGGGCGAAAGTGTTAGACACGAAGACGATTACTTTGAAGGACTTCTAAATGACAATCATACTCTAAAGACATCTGCCTAAAATATAACCCCTAGAAGTTTTAAGTGAAGGTGATAGTTTAGTTTATCACTCAAGAAAGAAGGCACCATCGCTGGCTTCTTTTTTCTTATGTGTCATGTTCTTTCAGGCGATCATTGCTCCCCCCACCCTTGTAGCTCTCAAATTCCTTCCCTCTGCTTCCTCCCCCAGACCACGTTTTATCATCCACTTGCGTAAGCCCACCAGGTTTGTCACGTGTTGTTTTCCCATGTCACTCTTTCTCTCTATTCGACCTATGAGTATCAGATTCTCCAGGCTCTTCTTCATTATGTGCCCCAGAAACTTTCCTGATGTTAAGTATAAGCCTCCTCCTTGTTTGCAACCTCTCTAATACCTCATCGTTGCTCATACGCTCGGATATCCTCAGTATCCTTCTGTAGAACCACATTTCCGTCGCCTCTTCATCTATTCTTCATCTATGAGGAGATCGTCCAACATTCGTTGCCATAAAGGAGGGCAGATGTCACGTAACTGCTCAGTATTCTTTTCTTTGTTACTAAAGAAATCCTCTTATCTCGCAATACACTGTCCAGCTTTTGGAATGCGTCCTTGGCCATTCCAATACGTCGACGGATCTCACTGTCGCACTTGCCATCCTCTGTCAAAACACTTCCCACATATTTAAACTTCCACACCTGCTTGATTTTAATATCCCAGACCTGCAAATCGCATTTCGGGCTCATCCTTTTACTGATGACCATGCATTTTGTCTGCTTGTAGTTTATGCTTAGTCCCTTCTTCTTGCTCTCCTTCGCTACCTTTATTAAAAAAGAGCACTAAATGGTGGAAAGAGAATTTCACTTGGGACAATGAAAGAATGTATTTAATGTTCAGAATGGAATAATCAGGAAAGCTTCCTCTTGGTAGAGTCTGTTCCATAAAGCAGCAGCTCTTGGGAACAAGCTTCCTTCTTGCCAGAGGAATACGAAGCCAATGACAATGTTTCGCCCTGTGTGCATAGAATGGCGGGTCTTAAGCGTAAATGTTTGAACTAGAGAGTTATGAACATTGATTAATATACATAAATGTTAGGATGGAGGAAAACAGATCTACTGTGAACTATGAACAAACTGGGAAGGAGGAAAAGACAAATCTGTTCATAAATCTGTCCCAGTCTTTACATAACTTTCCATTCTTCCGTTTACCCCATTCTGTTCATAGCTATCAGTTGAAACGGTTTTAATGATAGACATGAACAGATTCGAACAGGCAGAAAAAAAAACATAAGTGCCTGGAAACGACGAGAAGATATATATACTCGGAGCTATGAAGAATCTGGGACGGAATAAAAACAGATCTACTGATGGACATGAAGAGATAAACATGAACAGACGAAAAGATAGATTCACTGAAATTCAAGAACAGATAGGAACAGAGAGAAAGATTTAAGAGTTTTGAGCAGAAAGGGAGAAGCAGAAAGCGACATCTATTGAACAAACTGAGAGAGCCTTAAAGCTATGAATAGACTGGAACGGAAGGAAAGAACTGTGAGACTGACTCACAAAAACACAACTCTCTTGAGGGACGTAGACCAATTGGGACCAGTTGCGCGCAGAAGATGAGACAGAGAGGTGTGATGGCCTCGAGCACCCATATCGAGAGGTCATCCAATCAAACAGTGAAATAAAAATTTATTTTTTATTTAACTTGAATAAAGTGTTTTATTTCATGTTTTTAAATATTTAAAATGTCTTCCTTTCTCACATTTCTCAATACTAAGCGATACCTCCCCCACCTCTACTTGAATCTTAGGGGCATGCAATCACTAAACCTCACCAAACCTCTGCACGTCACTGACTGAGATAGACGAAAAAGACTTTTGCTGAGAGGCATGCAGAGACTTCGACAGAAAGAAAGACATATCTACTGAAAGATATAAACAGACCCCGATGTAGATGGAAACATATATAGTAAGTGCCCCCAAGAATGGAAGAAAATAGAAAAGGTACCTAGTTCTACGTGCGGCCTGGGAGAGATGCAAAGAGGCCTTCTGAGAGATATGAACAGACTGGGACGGAGGGGACAGTAGGTCTACAGATGGACAAGAACCAATTGAGAGATATACTGAGAGCTATAAACAGACTAGAATAAACGGGGCCATATCTGAGATCTATAAACAGATTGTGAGTAGGGCTAACGAACGTATATATATATTTATCTACTGACGGAGAGAATGGAAAAGATGGAAGGGCAGAGAACGAGTGCTATGGACAGATGGAAATAAATCTCCAGTAAAAAAAAATCAACTGAGAGTCAGAAATAGATTGGGACATAAAAATAACATATCTAGTGTCAGTTATGAAAAGACAGGTATAGATGAGTTATTAATAAAACTACACATTTTTATATCTGTCTATATATCTGAGATGAGGTATTATAATTACTTGGCCTGTTATTTGGTCTGTTATCGTCATTTTCATTGACATATTCACAACGCTTCAGGCGTTGTACGCTTCGGCCTTCTTCAGGTGATTGGAATCAAACCATTTATTTCGTCCATTGTTCTACTCGAATATTCAGGCGGTAGATGGAAATAAATAAATAAAAACAGACCATCTACTCAAATATGTCTATCAATTAAGCAAATAAATTAAAAATATGTCGGATTTAATCCATTCCTAATACACCCACCCACCCCCACACACACACATATATATATATATATATATATATATATATATGTGTGTGTGTGTGTGTGTGTGTGCAAAATAAGATACAGAATGCCAACAAAGTTCTGAAGAAGTTAGACAAATAGAAAACGTTTCATTGAAACTAGATTTGATTACGCGTTTCGCCTTTCTAGGCTTCATCAGATCTAAAGACAAAAGAACAAAATGTATGTTTGAGTGTATGCTTAAATAAGGAATAATAAAACGTTTTCCTTATGCTGGCGTTTAAAGAAGAAAGAAAATGAGTGACTTGTAAAAAAAAATGACGTTAATATTTATTCTGTATCTTTTCTTTATAATTCTTAGTTCATGTCGGAAGTTGTTAAAATATTTTCCAAAATTTTTTGTATTAAATTAAAGGTAAATCTTCAACTCATTTTCAGAATGGTTCGAAAGCAAGAAATTCAAATACCCTTTTTTTTTTAAATAAATCCAAGACAAATCCTCAGACAATCCTTCAGAATGGATTCAATTTAAAAGATTTATATGTTTTAGGTTTGTTTATATATATATATATATATATATATATATATATATATATATATATATATATATATATATATATATATGTATGTATGTGTATGTATTTATGTACTTATATAGAGGTACTTTCAAAGAAAAGCGATACCTAAGGTTTAAAACGAATTTTAAAATTAAAAAAATCTTTCTGAAGCTTTTATTTTAATTTTAATTTCAAGAAGACAATAGATTAAATTTAATATTTCCATTAACTAAAATACTTTTCTGCATTTCAAAATGAATTTAAATTGATTAGAATTAGTTTATTTTTAAATTGCTAAAAATGGCTGATTTTAGCCATATTTACAAATCTCTCAGCATAGCGTAATTCTCTTTATTAAAAAAAATAATCTTAGATTAGAGGATTTCACCGAAATTACTTTTTTATGTTCAAACAAATTTTATTTATTGTTCTTCGTCCCTCTTTTCTAGTTTTTAAAGTCAACGTTTTCTAGTTTCTGCATGCTGAACAATCCCAAAAATGTTGTCAAATTTCATTAATTTTTTTCTTAAACGGCATTTCTTGCCGAATATTTAAAATATTTCATGTCAGTTATAAACTCATCTACAAGTCACTTTTATGATTAAGACGTAAATAAATACATTCAAATATTTGAACCTGTAAAAATATTTAAAAAAACACCTGTCACTTTTAAGTACTATAACCAATAAATCTAAGAATAATACTATTTTTCAAGGTTTAAGAAGAACACGTCTACTTTGTAACTCTACTTGTTTATGAGGTTAGTAGGGGGCTAATATTTTCAAATCGAATCATTTCAGTTCTAGCAAGGCGATAAAGCCGCTAAGAGGCTACTTAATCTGAAGAAAACTGAGAAAACTTTGCCGAAGGGAAAGGACAATAAAAGAACAGGGTGCAAGGAGACAGAAGATGACGATTGACATTGCATGGTAAAGTAAGAAATTGGAAGAGAGTTCCGCATGCGAGAAGTGCGAAAGAAGAAAATATTACCATAGAACTTACGGTTACAACTAGCAACAGTAAAATTATGGGACCTAGCAGCCAATCTAGTTTTGAACTAAAACATAATGTGGAGCTACCAAAGAAGAAAACTCACCAGAACAATTACTAAGATCATATTTATAGAAAGGTACAAGAAAGCTACGATGCGGGGGGGGGGGAGTCACTGAAGCCAAGATGCCAGGTCAAGACTAATTACTTTGCAGATTCTTCTTTGAACTTTGTCAAGAATACGGAGGAAGTATAACTGTTAGTAAATAGACGCACACAAATAAGCCGAAATACACGTGACTAGGCAGAAACACACCCAAATAGGGAGATATACGCATACAGGTAAACGATTGTAAGTCTTCGAAGACACACACACGCATAGAGACTTGCGTATTCAAATATCAATACCCCGACACACACGCGCGAAAACATCTATTCAATCAAAGAGACCGATTACCATAGAAAGATATGCACGGACACACAGAGGAGTAAACCTCGATTGAACAATGCATACAGACAGAGCTGGTGTGTACCCCCACCCCCGAACCTTCAACCCTGATTGGTGACCCCCGGGCAGTGCTTTGTGATCCACGCTATGTTATCAAGATTTGCTTTTTTTCTGCCTAAATTTAAATGCAGTAAAAATTAAATCAAGCACAACGATTAAAAGATGAAAAATTTTCGCGGATTTTGACTTCATTCTGCTTTTGTTTTTTTTTCTAATCCAAATCTGTGAATTTATTTTGCCCATGTTAAGTTTCGAAAAAAACTCTATATAAAGTTGACTATTGTTTATCCATGAATGTGTCAAATTATTCAACTTTTTAACAAGAAAAATCACAAGTTAATATTAAAAATTGCCACAAAACATTATTGATTTATTTAAGATGGAATGATGTATTATGACATGTCTCTAATTTGTATTTAGATACATTGTATTTATTTTCAATTTTTCTAGTTGAAATGTTCACCTATTTTGCATAGGATCCATTATTGTACATAATTAGGTTACAATAAATTTATTATTTTATATGAATACTACCTAATGAAAATGATATATATATATATATATATATATATATATATATATATATATATATATATATATATATATATATATTAAAAGTAGAGATCTCTAAGGACAAGTGAGACCTTTCCACCGGTCCTTCACATAGACACACGCCAGCATACAGAGATCAGTAAAAAAAAAAAAACAACATTTTTTAATCTCTTCAGGACGGAGGCGGATCATGACTCTCCACAGATTATGCTTTATTTTCTGTCATTCACTATAACTGCTTGAGAAAGATGGAGTGGTTTCCCGTTGCCTTATCGAGGGTTTGAAATTCAGAGTTTTCACTCTCTAACACTAGATGCTACCCTAGGCTAGAGGGCCCAGTCTACCTTGCTATTTAATCCATAGCTAGTAGAAGAAAAAGAATAAGAAACGGATCCATGCCTTTCCCAGGGGCATTTATGCCAAAGTGTCTATGCTAGAATTTGAACACAAAGGGACCGACTCCATTTTCCACGCAGATATCCGTTACATGTATACACATACTGTGATGCAAATACACACGAAATTATCATCAACTTAGGTAAACACAGATACTTTGGTCTGCTGATAAGTATACTTAAAAAAAATATCTACCCCTATAATATATACATATACGCGCAAGCATAGATTAGTCCCCCAAAAAGCACACACACACACACACACACACACAAATACACGCACCGAAAGGTAGACAGACACTGAAAAGCAGACAATTAAGACAAGTAATATAGCAAGCAATGCCAACATTTATAGGAAGAGCAAACCATGCCAAGAATATGGTCGGCTCTGATAAGAGGAATGAAATAAAAAGACAACATCACAGAAATGGCAATTGGCAATTTATTGTCTTTCAACGCTCGGATCAATAAATAAAGTCTTCATGCGAAAATATGTGCGCATATTTTGAGGACATCATGTTATATGACTGTTTTCATTTTCATATTAATTTACTTGTATATATATATATATATATATATATATATATATATATATATATATATATATATGGGTTTGTTTGGAAAAAGCAGAATCTTTTGGGTCTCGACGCCTTTAAAAAAAAAAGAAGACAAATATACCTGCAAACGTCAGGGGGTTTCAAATTAAACCAAAAGATTTAATGTTTCAATGTGAATATCAGCCTTCATTTCGGCGTGTGTATGCACGTTAACGCAAAAGGGATTCTGTATCAATTAATACCTGTATATGAGTCAGTCCCGGTATTTTTTAACAGGAACTCTTCAAATGTGTACAGTATTCATATGTGTGTGTGTGTGTGTGTGTGTGTGTGTGTGTGTGTGTGTGTGTGTGTGATAGAGAGAGTGAGTCTCTTTGCATATATATATTTATATATATATATATATATATATATATATATATATATATTTATCGAATGTAGATCAAATATAGATCGTATTAAACAGGATGATATCTATCTCAGTCTTTTTGTATCTATCTCGATCTTTTGTATCTATCTATATCAATCTTGTATTTATCAATGTTTTGAATCTATCTCAATCTTTTTGAATCAATCACTCTATCTATCTATCTATCTATCTATCTATCTATCTATCTATCCACGCCCCCCCCACACACACATACACATACACATGATTTCGTGAAATCACATGAAACTTTTAGTTGTGGTTTGCCATTTGTTTACCGGGAAGTTATTTAGAAAACTATGTGCCATCCTTTACGTTGAATACTATATACTATCTTACGTTACATTATTTAAATTATATATATATATATATATATATATATATATATATATATATATATATATATATATGTATGTGTATGTGTGCGTGTGTATGTGTGTGTATTTAGGAAGCAATTCTTCTTTCATGCACTTTTCAGTGAATATGACAGACAAGGTGCTTTGATTTAGTTTTTATGCAATTTCTCATATGATCTTAGATTTTTTTCTTTTTCTATAAAATTGTCCAATTGTTCTTACTTTCCAAGCGGTTTCGGCTGTACATTTAGCCATTTTCAAGGTTGAAATATATTAACTGTTAACAAGAAATAGATTATTGTATGTCTGTATTTATATAATGTTTTATTTTCCAAACACAGTCAAGACATTGTGTCTACGTTCATAGTTGATATTATTGAGTGTTGTTTTTTTTTTTTTTTAATAATAAAATATATATATATATATATATATATATATATATATATATATATATATATATATATATATAACACGTCATTATTATTCCTCTCATTGCTTCCCATTATGAAAAGTTTGAGGATTTAACCCTACAATAATCAATTGAGGAGATGGGCATGGGAAAAAACATGGAGACGTGAGGTTGACAGCGATTTTGAAAGATTGTCCTTATTAATGTGTAAAATTGAAATTCATTGGGATTTGAAATTTAAATTTAAAAGGCAAGTTTTTCAGTTACAGTTTTCCTGGAAATGAGCAGACCCTCTTTTTTCTTATCTCATTTGTTGCTCAGACATCTTGCCAGAATGTTTTGATAGATGTTGCAGCCTTTAACTCGTAGGAAAAGGACAAGCATGTGCTCGCTAAAAACAGTTAATATCATTTTCATTTTGTAGATGGGTGTCAATGATTTTCTTGTGGGACAGCCAGTAGTTACCCCAAGGACATGTTTAACATCTACCAGATTACGATCGCAGAACTTTGTGAGTCGGTGCCACGTTTTTGAATAGTGGCTAACAAGCTAGTTTCGTTGACCATAATGACAGGAATGAGTTTGAATCATACTAGGATCCACACAATATTGGTCTTGTACCAGACTAAGACTAACTTATTTATTTATAGTCGGTCTAATAGCTTATCTAATAAATTGTTAGATCACAACGTTTCGGACATTTTGACGTACAAACTTCTTCAGGTTAACTTTCAGTTAATTTTGAAGAAAACGCTTTATTTAATCTACGGGTTAGACTGTTCTTGTTCCACTGATCATGTTTAGTTCTCTTTTTAATATTTCAGTTATTGCTCGTCTTGTTTCCATTTAGTCTAAATCTGCACTACTCGTCCCAGGGATTGAACCCACGAATACTATGCAACTAAATTTTAACCAAAGTACTTTGCCTAAGGAATGTCTATCAGGATAAGCGATAAATGTCCTACCCTAGGGTAGCATTTGAAGACTGATGTACAGAGTAAGGCTAATACATTTCTGCTAATATATTTAGCCTTACAGTGTAAGGCTAATACATTTCTGCTAATCTATTTAGCCTTACAGTGTAAGGTTAATACATTTCTACTAAGATATTTCTTCGTTTCAAAGATGTATTTATCAAATTCTTCAGTATAGAAACTTAGTTTATGTCAGGTATATCTTTTAGTATTTATACATATTGTGACTAAAAAATGTACCCATGAAGTGAATCTAATAATGGATGGTTACTCCTTTTCCTAGCACCCCCCCAGTCTGATATATCGCCAACACCTGCTCCAGAATGTTTGCCTTTCTTCAACCGGTGGTTTATACTGCAGTGGAACAGTCCAACATGCAAATTACAAATTGGTGATACCAAAATCAAAACGTCCTGGGTATGACGATAAACTACATCCGGCAGCAAAACCTCTGGTCGTGAGGTTTTCAGGAACGTGACACGATCTCTTCATTGCTGTTGTTCCTAGGTCCACCCTAACCCGGGGTGATAGTGCCTGTTAGAGTCACTGCTATTGAGAAATATTTAACCCCCAAACTGGAGTCAAAACACAATGAATGTATAAAAATAGATTTTTATATTAAAAATGCCAGCAATACATTTTTGAAAAAAAAACGAACTTATTTGCAGCAATACATTTTTGGAAAAAATATTACCGGCAATATATTTGACAATTGACAAAAACCCTCTTTACAAAAATACGTCACTGGAACTTGATCTACCAACTAATTTTTTTACAAAGAATACATATTCAATTCATACGAATCTATTGTAAAAATCTTGTTGGCATACTGTTCCCTCTTTTTAAACTTATTCACCGTTCTCTTGATGGTTCATGAATAGTCTTTGAAGATGGAAGTCAAAATATGAATGCTGATTCCATTACTGAAAACCTGAATGATCTTTTTCCTCTTACCATTGATCAGTTGGGAAGACAGTTTGTCTGACACAAAACAAGTTTAATCTGCTTTTTTTTTAGCTGAATAACTCAAAGGATTTTTTCAGCGAAAATGGCTAAACGTCTTATCTGAAAACCTTGGAAAAATAAGCTCAATTAGTTTAATGTTTTTTTTAGATATTAAACATTTTGTGAGGTGGACAATTATGCTGTTATATGATTTGGACAATTTTGCTGTTACACCCAGTTTATATTAAAAATAATACCACCATTACATATATATCATAAAATATACAACAGTACCTAGTTATAGTAAAATTAGCAAAAATACATTTTTAGAAAAAAATGACCAACGATAGATTTTATAGTAAAAAATACTTTTTATTATATATCAAAATGACCAACAATACATTTCATGTGTAGTTGAAGGCATAAAAGTGCGTTCAAAATATATTTAGTTCAAGCCATAAAATTGTGCTCAAAAGATTAGATTTCAACATTAAATAACCCATAGAACTGTTGATATGCCGATAAACAAAATCAAATTAGCAAACAATATAAAAATAATCATGCTGATTAAAATAAACGTTCCTTCGGTAAATTTTTATAAGCTTAATAAACGTATAAACTGGAGAGCATTATTTGTTATGTTATAAACACCTTGTATCAAATAATTTCCGTGCCGAGAAGAAAATTGAAAGAAATAATATAATCCTGCCGGTACTTGTATTTGGTATACAACACTATGTAGATATGCATATGTACATATATCTATGTACACCAGAATATCTGTGCATATGCGTATGTACACATGAGTATATGTACATATGTGTATGTACACAAGAATATAATATGTACGTATGACTATGCACACCTGGAAATATGTGTATATATGTATGTACACCTGAATATACACATAAAATATTTGGTAGCTCGATTCTTAAGATGTGTTGTCAAAGGACTAAAACACCGCACAGTTGTTTCATAAAATGGGCTATTGACCCTCATGATGTCCCTAAAGAAGTAACTAAGAAAGAGTAAAAGAACATCGCACTAAAATTGGTCATTTGCTTCGAAAACGGCGTCAATCAAAGAATGAGATTTTCAATCGACTGAAATGAAGACAGTGTCGGGGGAAAGATCACGCTCCACAGGACACCACAGGACTCCTTTGACGGTACATGAAAATAGTTGAAAACAAAATGAAAAATGTCAATCGTTTCATATTGAATATTGTAAAAAAAATAGTTTCGACTTCTCAGCTGAGGTACATGTTAACTGAGTTAACTGCTCCTGATGTTGTTATCTGGTTAGTATGATATATATATATATATATATATATATATATATATATATATATATATTATATTTTTTATTGCTATTGCTACTCTTATCTTCGTTGCCATATTTCGGGTGTTGTATGCTCCGGCCTTCTTCAGGCGATTGGAATTTCGAACTGAATCCTTTATTTCGACCACTGGGGTAGATTGTTCTAGTTCCACGTGTCACGTCTCTTAGATGAGGACAACAGTGCAAACAATGTAAATAGTGTAAATAATAACAATAACTTCATCTCATATATATATATATATATATATATATATATATATATATATATATATATATATATATATATATATTTGATACCTAGACATTATGAATTGATGCGTAGTACTAAATTAGTAGGAAGGTCTCATCATTTTACAGGTGAAATGGCTATATCCAACCGTAAGTTCTATGCTAACAGTTTCTTCTCTCGCACTTCTCACTTGTGGGACTCGAGTTCTTGCTTTCCAGTCAACTTTGATCTCCATACAATCAAAATTAAGATACCATTCCTTAAATGATCATTTTCACCTTGTAAAAGTATAAGAATTTGACAGGATTTTTAAAATAGTCAATAGATGATAAAGTTTTGAAATAAAAAACAAAAATAGACAAGGGGGAGTAAAGAAAGGAAGAAAAAAAAAGACAACCAAGAGAGAAAAAGATGAAGAATAGAAAAGAAGCGGGGTGGCAACGGCAACAGGAAATGGTGTAAGTGTTGATGTTAGTGGTGGGCAGAGGGGAAAGTAAGAGAAGGGGAAAGAAAAGAGATGACCTAAAAGTAAAGGGAAAAAAGAAGGAAAAGAGAAGAAGAAATGACATATTTAATATACGCAGTAAAATAATAAGACATCAGATAACCAAAGTAACTTTCAGAATTTAATGGAAAAAAACAAAACAACAACAAAACAACAACAAAAAAAAAACAAATATTATATAAAATAAAAAAGTGATAAACCCCAGAACGTGAACGAGAGATAATTCAAAATTAAAGAGTAATAAATTAATTAATGTTTGCATAGAATATTAAGGGAAATATAAAAAAAATAAATAATATAAATTGGTGGCAGGGGGTGGGGGCGATTATAAATATCTAGGGTGAAAACATCCAAATTAACATATATTAAATTTAATACCCATCCCCAAGGCAAAATTTAAATATAATATATAGTCTAATATATAAACTTTGAATGACAAGGCCTTTAGAATAATAGAAGCCTATAGAATTGAAAGATAATACTATATAAAAATAAAAATAAAGGCCAAAAATTTTTATAAATCCATTAAAATTTATACTAAGTTAAATATTCAAATGCCTCTACATTAAACCTTATAATACAATATATATTAATAAAAAAACACTCTAATACTACATATCAACATTATATATTAACATATACAACACATATTAAATATAAAAAGCCACATATTTTTAAAAGATAATATTTAAAATTATACATACCAATTCATTGAAAATAAATATAAAATATAATAAAATATCTAAACCAATATATGAGATAGAGCTGATGTAAACGTATAATTATGTATTATTACATAATAACAAATTAACACAAAAGTTATATTAAGGTATATTATTATTAATATATAATATTGTAGGGAAAGTATACTTATGTGTAAAGGATAATTAAGGATGATTCAACAGAGATACTTTAAAGTAAAAAAAAAATGACCACAAGTGTAATATAAAAGGTATTATTGATAGTCATCAAGAATTAATAGCAATTTAGTGAAAGAGAAATGATATTTTTGTAAATTGTAAGAGAAGATAAATATAGAAAGGATATATAGAGAAAAAGAGAAGCTGAATATACAATGTCAGCAGCACATGTACTTGTTAAAGGATAACAGGTTTGCTCAATTTCGGTCAGGACTGAAGAGGAGCAGGAATTCACAGGTAATTTACAAAAGATGACAATGCATGCTAGTTTGTTAATAGTACACACACACACACAAACACGCACGCATATACATACATATATATTATTAAAAAAAGAAAGAACAGTAAGACATATAATCGGGTGTTCTTATTGATAATTTTATTTTTACTTTTATAAAACAGTTCTCAATGTAATTTTTAATATATATATATATATATATATATATATATATATATATATATATATATATGCAAAGGAAATGGAAAGAGACCGACAGTTATAAAGTAAATGTTTATTTGAGTAAATGCTCTGTTAAAAATAAACAGTGTTAAACAACATTTATCGGCCTGAATGTTCGAGAAATTTTCATAGAAAATATTCGTCCCCCGCCTGGAATCGAATCTGTATCCTATACGGAACCGTCATATAGCCTGACGTGCCTTTAACCGATTTGTTTACATTTGGATACGCTTTGAGCAGATATGAATGTACGTGAGAGATGCATGCAGGATTAAAGTTTAAAGGCAGTAAATTCGAGCTTGCTACCCAAAACGCTCCTCTGTGGCCCAATCGTTTAAAGGCACGCCAGGTTATATGACGGTTCCGTAAAGGATACATGTTCGATTCCTGTCGGAGGACGAATATTTTCTATGAAAATTTCTCGGGCATTCAGGGCGGTAAATGTTGTTTAATATAAACAGAGCATTTACTTAAATATTTTATCTATAAAAATAATGTATAAACAAAAAATCTCTTTTTTTATATATATATATATATATATATATATATATATATATATATATAATTATTCGAAAATTATAACATAAATATGTTATAATATCACTACAAAAATAACCATTTTGCTTCAACACTTCTGGTGTCTTATCAAGTGATGGTGTTGAATATAGAATAAAGGGTTTTAAAAGTTCAAATCGACCAAACACACTACAATAGGGGAAACGCTGTTGCATAAATTGCAATGACCAATCAAAATACATGTATGTGAAAAAATCTCGATACAATTTTACACCGAAAAGCTTAAAGATACTGTGACACACAGCATTAAATTTAAATGTTTGACAACCGGTGCATCTTTTGTACGTAGGACGTTTAAGCCGATTTCTTTCCGTTCTCCATCGCATTTACTTTTATTTCTATCGGTAATGTAACAAGCTTTTATTACATTTAGTCGTTGTCCTATATATTACCCAAAGCTTACAACGGGAGGGAAATAAATGTAATTTATGTCTTGTTGAAAAGTTAGTTATCTTAAAACACTTAAATAACGGTAGCTTATAAAAAAGAGAAATGAATTGATGGTTCCATGTAGGCATAAAAATAAATATTTGCCTAAATATGTTGATCAGGGTTAATTTTTAATGTAAATTACGGTTTGTTTTTAGTTTTTTAAAGAACAGTTAGTATTATATTTTCAACACACACACACACACACACACACACACACACACACACACACACACATATATACATATATATATATATATATACAAATCTCACAAATGCCAAATATATTTTTAAAATTAAAAAAACTGTACTCCCTCATATTGTATAAAACTGAGCCAACATTGCGAAAGCCAGATATTTTAAAAAAATGTAAATTACGTAACGGTCTGTCTATACTAAACGCCTGAAGATTGCATTGGGCATGAAACTCCGAGTCATGCTATTGGTGAGGGATAATATGTATATTTATTAATTTATACTTAATAGCTCTGTTGTATTATATCGAGCACTGTTTTATTAACACCTATTAATTAAGCGCTATATATATATATATATATATATATATATATATATATATATATATATATATATATATACTTGACTTCGATTAAAAACATTATTAATCTAAGGGCGAACACTTTATTGAACACTTTATTGAGTTTTACATTTTGTCGTTCGTTTACCAACTATTGGTTTGATATATAGATTTGTACATATCACATACGCACAAACGCACAAACGCACATACCCATACACACACTCGCACTCATCTCTCTCTCTCTCTCTCTCTCTCTCTCTCTCTGTATATATATATATATATATATATATATATATATATATATATATAGGATGCTGAAAATTTCACGGCATCGTCAAAAATATTATCCCATGATCGGTCATGTTTTGGGAAGTAGGTCAGGTCGAGAAGTCTTCAGGAAATCATTCATGAATAGAAAGAGAGAAAGAGGGGTGGCAGAGAAAAGAGAGCCAGCCAAACTTACGGATAGAGGGGGAGGAGAGGGAAATGAGAGAGGGGAGAAGGGGAAGGAGAAAGTTGTAGGAAAAGAAATGAGTGGAGAGAGGATGGTGTGAGGGAAGGAAGGGGGAGAGAAGGGAGAGAAAAGGAATGGAGAGTGAAGGTGAGTGGGAAATAAAAGAGGAGGTAGAGAGAGGACAAAGAGTAAAGTCTTCCTATTCCATTGAGGAGGTGCGTAGTCTGTATCTGTACATCTACAGATAATATCAGATAAGTATTCGACTGTCTTCTACAAGTTACACTCCTTGTTTTATAAAGACATTTAACCCTGAACCCTAACCCCTCTCATTCTTAGTTCTCTTCACTTCGCATTTAATTCTCCAACTCCCTTTCTCTCTCTCTATTTCTTAGACCATTCCTGACAGAAGCATTTCTGTTCCATACCAAAGTGTACTTTAACCAACACACATACGCACGCACGCACGAGAGCACAAACACAGCGACACACAACCATGTGTATATGTCATAATTAACATAGCATATATATATATATATATATATATATATATGTGTGTGTGTGTGTGTGTGTGTGTGTGTGTGTGTGTGTGTGTGTGTTTACCAGTTTGTGACTGGAAGAGATAATTTCAGGGAGGATATAAATCCAGGGAGAGCTCAATGTAGAGTACAGAGCATTATAATGATAATAATAAGACAGAGGCTTTGATTATCCATTTTGATTAGAATTTATTTTGTGAACATCGATGTGTTCAAGAGTTGAAGACCTCGGTGTTCACAAAATAAATTATAATGGAAGTGGATAATTAAAGTTTCTGTCTTTTTATTATCATTATATATTTATGCTTATATATATATATATATATAAGACATTTTTTCTGTTTATACGTTCTTTTTATAGATACAAATATTTAAGTAAATGTTCTGTCTATAATAAACAGTATTAACAACATTTATCGGGCTGAATGTCCGAGAACTTCTCATAGAAAATATGCATCCTCCGACAGGTATCGAACCTGTATCCTATACGGAACCGTGATATAGCATGACATGCTTTTGCCGATTGAGCCACAGAGGAGCGTTTCGGTTAGCAAGGACGATTTTACTGATTTTAAACTACAATTCTCCATGATTTTCTCGCGTACATTCATATCTGCTGGATGCGTATCCAAATGTAAATAAATGACGTCACACATTATAAAATGGACAACGTCCGACAATTATTTTAAAACATTTTTTATGTTCATACGTTCTTTTGATAGCTACAAATATTTAAGTAAATGCTCTGTTTATAATAAACAGTATTAATAACATTTACCCGCCTGAATGTCCGAGAAATTTTCATAGAAAATATACGTCCTCCGCCAGGAATCGAACCTTTCAACTAGAATTCAAACTCGGCTCTCCGATTTCTCAATCCGAACAGATATCTATTACTCCACCGTGATTCCTTGGGGATCGGATTAATACAGTAAAGTCTTCTCCTTGTTTTTGAAATTCTTCTTTATTGTTCGTGCAGTTTTCCAAGGCGCATTGTCTCTGTAAAATACGCCATTGACATCATGAAACAGTATGTCTGGTCTTCAATGATGTTGAGGTATGCACTACGTTACTAAATACCAGCTACATAAATAATAGTAACCAGGTACATCTGTGTTGTTAGATGCCAAAACGATACGACGACGATACGCTGTCGGAAAGCAAAAAGACGTTGTAGGCAATGTGTTGCTTTGAGAAACGTTCTGCTGAGAAAGTCGGCCATGTTTCTCGACGGTGATGGTTGTTCACACAAGATAACACCCAGCAGACTCCCATATATTCCAGCGGCCCCTCGAAATTTGCCAGATGTAAACCCTATGGAGTATGTATAGGGCATCTTGCAGGCCTTAGTACTTCCCTACAGCCACATCTAACAAACAAAATTCAATTATGTATTGCCTTAGAACGTGTTTGGATTGACGTACCCAGGGAACGACTGTAGCAATTTGTGTAATTTATGACAACGTCTTTAATTTCTGGCCTTTAGTTTGCATATGTCTCGATTCCTAAGAGAAAATATGGACTCAGCGCATAATGACTAAATAATAAGGGTTTAAATTGACTTAACATATCATTAGTTAAAAATGAACAAGAGTGAAACAAATAGATGAAATAATGTACTGTAGGATAAGTAATCCCATGAATTTCTTTAAAGTTTTTTTGGAGGGTGGGGGGACATTGTTAGATTGACTGTTGATAACTTACCAGGTTTGATGGCTAAATGAAAAATGATTCCTGTTTCTGTTTAATGTGAATTCTAAAATTCTTTAGATCCTTCAACTCTAGGCTCCAATGAAATCAAAAGAATAATGGACGAAACCCACTTCTTTTCGAACTTTGGAGTGTGGGCAGGAATATTCATCGTTGTCATTTCAGAATTTCTTTGCAAACGAATTCGACCGGTTCCATTAATGGTGGATGTGTTCTAGTGCAGCTGAGTAGACCAATACGACCATTTCGCACCCGAAAAGATCTTGGAGCACAATAGAGGAAGGATTCTGCGTGTGACGTCTTCATCATCCAGCAGGCGTTCATTTTTTCTTAGAATTCTTACTTAATATATATATATATATATATATATATATATATATATATATATATATTATAGCTTCCATTATTTTTAGTCTTTTTGCAGGTGGATGCAGTTAATATATTTGTGTTTTTTACTTAGTATGTTACTAATGGTGTCAGGTAAATCTGTGTGTGTGTTTAAATGGGTTCTAAGGGAGCTGTGATCAGATAGGTGTAACGTAAGATGTCTGGATAACCATGTGGTTGTGTAACCGATGTAATTATTTATGAGTCCGGTTTGATCAGGAACACAGTTATGGAAGCTTTAATAATAAAAAAGAAAAAGTCAACTCTTAACAATATTAACTACGAACAAAGCCACAATGTGCTAACCGTATTCGGAAATTAAAAACACCCCTAGCACACACTAATACATACACATAATGCACACACTCAATTAAGCTGAAAAATCGAATCATCCTTGATAATGACTAAAGGTATAGCCGAAAGCACTCGTAAATATAAAACATTTGGACAGTTCTTACACACCCTTTATCCAGAAAAGAAAGCTCTTGTTAGAACAGAAGAAAAATTAAAATAAAAAAGCTTAACCGTAGTACCTTGTCTGTCGTTTTAATGAAATATATATATATATATATATATATATATATATATATATAACGGTAGCATAACTATAATATATATATATATATATATATATATATATATATATATATATATATATATATATATATATATATAACAATATATATATATATATATATATATATATATATATATAACTATAATAATATATATATATATATATATATATATATATATATATATATATAATAATAATAATAATAATAATAATAATCAATCGAGGGTCAAGCAGATCAGTTTCAGGAAACCGACAGCCCGACACCGGCACATGAGATTTGATTATAGTGGTGAAGGCTTCGTGCAGGACCATCCACACTTTTTTGAAGGGACGAATATAGAGACCTGGTGCACCGAATGCCACAAGGTTCCCCACGACCATCCGGTTTTGAATTCAGAGTTGTCCTTCTCTAGACCAGTTGCCATCCAAGGCTATAGAACCCAGTCTGTCCTGCTATTTTTATATATATATATATATATATATATATATATATATATATATATATATATATATATATATATATATATATATATATATATATATATAATATATAATATATATATATATATATATATATATACACTTACATAGATCCAAATACAAACATATAACTATAATTTAAATCCAAATATATACATCTAATATATCGTTTCAAATATAATGCAAATGTAAGCACAAATATATATGCAAATATATAAATATAGTATATGCATCAATATTTACCTCGAGA